CCTAATTTCTCTAATTAATAAACCAACCTTTTACCTTATAACTTTAATTAGTTAAACTCGTATCATAAAACCCAATCTATCATTATTGCTCTCCCATATAAATAATTACATTGATTGTAGTAATTTACTTTGATAATTCTATTGACACCAACAAGACTTTAGGATTGTTAATATAAATTGTTATCCTTTAGATACCTAAAACGTTGCTATACGTGTTGAAGTTTACTTTTCAGTCGGTAGACTTCGCTATCGACTCATATAACAATATATATTGATATATCAAATATATTAACTATGTTAACTATATTAACTATATCTGATATATTAAACATATTAAAATGTTTAATATTTTTAACATTTTTGACATTTTGTATTTCACTACACATTTGTAGATTTGTGATCATCTTCAGTTACAATAAATTTTAAAAAATATTTTATTATATTTAAAGCTTAGAATTACTTACATGTATAACACATAAAAAAGTGCAATTAGGTCTAAGTTTCTAGTTTAAGATTAAGCTATAATATATATATAAAGGGGGAAATGCATTTATAGAGGATATACTTACAGGGATATTACTGTAACTGTTATGTTTTTTTTTATTTTTAGCTTATAATTATCTGTTTTATTTTATATTTTTTATTATTATTTATTATTAATAAATTATATTTCTTTTAAAATTATAATCCTATGTAATTATTTTTAATAATTTAATTTTTATAATTTGTTATTATAAATTCAGATTTATTTTATAAATAAATAATTTTACTATGTAAACTATAAAAGAGAATTACATATTAATAATAAATATATATATTTGATTATTATTTTTTAATTTAAATTTTCAATATTTATAAAATAAGGTATTAAAATTAAATATATTTAGTTTATATATTATATTATTTTATTTTTATTTTAATATATATATTTTAAATAATCTAGGTTCATATAAAATATATTACTTCAAACTATTTAAATAATTAGTAATGCAAAAATATCTTTTATATCTAATATGAGTAACGATAAAAATATTTTGATTATCATTTCTAATTTGAACCGATTACCTGAAAAAATGTTCTCTACACGTCGACAACTTGAAAGAAGGACTGGAAAATCTGGAACTCCAAGGTAGAAATTTGTTTAATTAATAATCTTTTTATTTTGATTTTTTTTTTTTAAAAAAAAAAAAATATTTATCTCTATTATAACTGAAGACTTGAATATCTTGAAGAACTTGTTAACGAATATCAAAATACAAAGGATCAAAGTAAGTTTTTTTTTTTTTTTTTGACCGAATCGTTTTATTGATAAGAAATTCTTTTTTTTTTTTTTTGCAGGGGCCAAATACCAAGTATTAGCAAATTTAGCCAATTTTGCTTATGATCCTATTAATTATGAATGGCTTTGGCAGTTAAACGTAGTAGATTTATTTCTCGGTTCGTTATATTCTTTTCCCTCAAAACTTTTTATATCTCGTAACCATCATTAACAAAAAAATATTTTATCGTAATAACCTTTAGATACTTTAAATGAATCGGATGAAAAGTTGAGGGAATTTGGTTTAGGTGGACTATGCAATTTATGTTTAGGTAATTATGAAAAAAATCAAAAATTATCATCAATCACTTTAAATATAATATACTCGTTCTTTTTCAGAGAGTCGAAATCAAAAACATATAGTCGAGAATGATGGAATTCCATTAATTATCGATTGCTTATCTAATGAGAATCTGGATACAACATTATCTGCCATCACAGTTTTGAATTTCTTAATAACACCAACGAGTGAACAATGTACATTTTTTTATTATTCTTTTTTTTTAAGCTGAAACGTATAAAATTTTCGTTCTTTTTTTTTAATACAGATTATTGTTTTTGCTAGATATTTTAACGGATCATGTGAAAGAGCAAATGATTAAATTATCACATTCTGATAATATTCGAGTAAAGAATTTAGCAACCATATTTTTAGAAGATTATTTTTTTCCTAATGATGTCAAACAAGTAGATGATTATGGTAAACAATAAAATAAATAACGCCAATTAAACCCAATTTTTGTTTTCAAGTCCTTTATCAGCTTTATGATTAATTTAAATAAAAAAAAAAAAGATTTTTCCTCCGCCATTATATTATGTAAATAGTCTTGTCAACAAGTAAATAATTATTATAAAAGATCCGAGTAATCAATTTCTATGACAAAAAATATAGCATCACCTTCTTTATTCCTACACACGAATCTAAGTGGTTGATTTCCCAACACTTTGGACATGTTAAATTTTATAATCATATCCGCATTCATCGTAGAAAAGTTTGTAAAATTATTGAAAAAATCGCAACAATATATGTGAGAAGGGTTAAAGACGTAATTTTTACGAATAGACGGTTGAGAAAAATAATTACGACGTTTTGAAGAACTTAGATCCTCATTAGGCATGATGACTTTGGTGTCTTCTTCAATATGATGTTTACCGTAATAAACCCAAGGTTCGATGGGTAACAAAGGTGAAGCGTTGTTGTCGAAAGTTGGAATCGAACGTTTTTGTGATTTCATAATTTTCCTCGTGGACATATCGTCAGATTCAGCTTTCCAAACTTTAACAACATTCATTCCACAAATTAACCAACTACCAGCCCAAGGTCTTTTTTTTAAGAACATCCCATCAGCATTAAATCCGGGATCAATGTATCCCGCAAATTTAACAGCAAGTGAAGATCCCATTGGAGGATTAATTCTAGACTCGGTTTCCGCACAAAACAGTACATCATCAAAAGTCCATAAGTGATCATCTCTATTAGGATTCGTTGGTTTAAAACGTCCTTGAAATTGAAATGAGAACAATCTACGACGATTTTCAAAGTATGAACAAGACTTTATGACCGGGTCATCTTTATGATGATTATTTTGTAATCTAACGGTTATGTAGCCGGTAAAGTGAGAGGAGTTGACGAATAAGGGGTGTTTGTCATCATTGACTTTGTATTGTTGGAGTGAATTATAAGTTGGTCCTATCTTTACTAATGGCATTTTTCTTTTTTTTTTTTAATTACTTTTTTTAATTATTATTTTATTATTTTTATATATATAATATGTATATGCTATTTAAATGTAGGAATAAAAATTGTGAAATTTCGGAAGAGTCCAGCTAATCCGTTGTTGAAACCTGTGAAAAGGAAAAAAAAAATGAACAAAAAAAAAAAAGATTGGCTGGCATATTTATAATTTTTTTTTTTTTTTGTGACTAGTGAAATAAAATGTTGTGACAAGTTGATAACGTAAATATTTAGACCCGCGTTTTAAAAAAAAAGAAAAAAAGTGACAGCATGATGATACAAGAAGTTGAAAATAAATTACCCTGTCATAATGCAGTGTTATCGCCGTAATGCATTTATTTTAAATTGTGGCTGGAAAGTAATAAATTGAAACAACAAAAAAAAAAATTGATCAAATTAGACAATGGGAATGTTGTATTCTTTCTAATATATACATACAATACATTATTTTTTTTTTATCTTTTTGAAAAAGTAAATTTTTCCTCCCTCCCCCACGTCATCAAATTTTATTTTTTCTTTTTTTTTTTTTCATGTTACTTTCTTTCCCGTATCCGCGAGTAGCTTCTTGATGTCCAAAAAATTTTCTTTGTATGTAACTTTTTATATATATTTATATATTTATATTTCCTGTTATTTTTTATTTGTTTTTATATTTATGAAACGTAAAAAAAAAAAAATGGTCACTTTTTACTAGATTTATTTTTGGTGATGCTCTTTCTCTCTCTCTCTTTTTTTCTTAATCTTGAATAAATTTTTTATTTGTTTTTTTTTTTCTTTTTTCTTTATTTATTCACTCTAATATATGACAATCATTATACTCTTAGAAAACGGTTTATCCGTTCGCGGTCACGACAAAACAGGGAAAGCGGTCCTACGGTTTCTGTCAGTATTAACGAAATCCGTGATATGACTACAGACCAGGCAACGCGACAACTTTCGAAACATGCTCAAAATCATTTCACTTATTCTTGGACGATTAGAAGTTTTAATGAACTAGTCACTTTCTATCCGAATACAGGTTTCGTTCTAAGTGACAGATTTTGGTCACCACGACCTCCATTAACGACAGATTTAACTTCGACAAAAAACAAACAAAATGATCATCCATACTTATGGCGTATCAAATTATACCCTAATGGTGTAAATGAAGCTGCTAAAGGTCATATATCTTTGTATTTAGTGGCCATACAAACCCCTTATGAGAAGGAGAATAATATAACGTTTAGGGAAAAAACTTTCAAATTGGAAGTATTTCGTCTTACTTCCGATCCTAATTCCACACCTTTTTCATCATCAACCCCTCACCTTATTCGACATGAAACTTTTACCATGAAATTTGAATTTGAAGGTTTAGATGACTTTGGTCGTCATCGTTTTTGTTCGTTTGAAAATTTGTTTCCAAATAATGATACGAATGCAGAAATCGATCTGCTCATAAGGGTTCACATTTTTAATACCACCACTACTGATGATCCAACAGATGAACCCATAGAACATATTGAATCAGAATTCCCTTCTTTTGAACAACATTTAGATGATGGGAGGTTTAGTGATATAGAATTCACTTTTGATTGTGGATCTGTCATAAAAGCACATCGAATAATTCTTGCTACGAGGTCTTCATATTTTGAAAAATTGTTGGGTGATAAGTGGAAAGAAGGACAGATGAAAACAATACCTATAAAACATATGGCATATACCACTTTTCGTTCTATATTATACTATCTATACACTGGAAGTTTAGAGGATGGACTGGGGTTTGATGTATTGAAAGATATTTATTCAAAAGCTGACATGTTAAATCTCGAAAGATTCGGTGAGATGGTAGCTGATCGAATCGCGGATATGGTAAACGGTGATAACTGGGATGAAATACTAATGTTGGCATGGGAAGTTAGTGATGTTCGTCTAAAAGAAGCTGCACTCGATTATGCTGTAACAAAATGGGATGAAATCAGAGATGGTGCAAACATGAAAAGGGTGATGGCTTGTGGTAATATGGATTGGATTGAAGAATTAATGAAGGCTAGATATATAAGCATGCAAATTTCATAAACAGATCGTTTCTCCTATATATAAGTTTGTTTATTTATAATTCAAATAATTACCCCCCAAAAAAAGATTATTCAAACGATATATTAATAAACAATATAAAAAAAAATTCACTTTGTAAAAGATTTTCTTGTTATTTATAAATATAAATAATTTTTTTTTTTAGTAAGTAATAGGTACTAAACATTATACATATTTAAAAAAAAAAGAAAAAAAAAAAAGAAAAAAAAATTACAATCTTGTATTATTAACTGTAATTAATAATCTTCAAAAAAAAAAATGAATAAAAAAAAAAGTGATTTGTTTTTTTTCTTTTTTTTTTGTAGTAAGTAATAAAGAAATTTTCTAATAAAAAAGGAAGTGTAATAATAATAATAATATATATATATACTAAATAAATACATATACATATATATAATATATATATATACTGCTAAAAAAAAAAATGAATGAAAATACAATAACGAGAAAAAAAGATGAAAAAAAAAAAAAAAATGAAGTACAAATAGAATAATAATAATATATAAATGATAAGTACCATTTAAAACCATTTAAACAATAAAAGATGCTTTTTAAATTGATTTTCATAAGTTCAATGTTAACGCAAAAGATAAACCAATAATTAAAAAATAATTGACATCGCAAGAGTCCAACATATATAATTTTATCTACATCACGAACCGCATAAGCAAACATACAATATAACCAAAGACTAAATTAAAAACCTTTATTCTTGTCCGAACCCCATAGTTTCCTCTACCGCTAGAGTTAATTTAGATACAAATCTATATAATAGAAATGGATTTAGCTGGCAATCAGGCAAAATGAAGGAAATGTTAAGAATGATTACTCACGACTCATAATTTTTGTAAGGTGGCAAATCGATACGATTAAAGCTTTGAAAGGGGAAAATATTTTAGTTAAAATATTAATGAATTTATCAATAAAGTATTATTTATTATACGTACCAGGTATGACTTTTTGGAAGTTGAGTAATATCTCCGGCCTTTTCGATAGTAAATCGCCTTGGACCATCGCTACCTTGTAAATCCTTGAATCCATTGACTGGAATACGGGACGTTCCGGTAGTAAATTGCAATAAGCGAGATTTCTTTTCAGAATCCCATGATCGGACACACTATAAAATGTTGTTAACATGAATAAAAGGTTAAATCAACAAGGACAAACCAACCAACCAACAAACGAACAAACAAATAAATAAATATCAAGAATAGTTACCTCCCAGAACCACTGTATAACATCATCAGATTCAGTATATCCTCTATAATCAGTGTGTTTCTTCCAATCATCAACGTCAATTTCCGCGATACCGCCGATTAATAACTGTAATTATAAAAGCGAATTTTTCATTCAAGGTAAATCCAATCCAAATTAGCTACGGATTTTTCCTATGTAGTGATCTAATTAACGAGCTAGCGCAAGTGACTTATGCTGCATTAACTGAAATGAAGAATTTAATCCCTAACCTCTAATTCTCGTTCGTCGAAAACGGCAATTAAATCTTGTGGTATAAGCTGATTAAACCCTTCCATAAACGCCTTGAATTGTTCTTCGATACGTTTAGAAATACGCCATTCCGTAATATGACTAATAAATTAATCAATCAATCAATAAATGAAAAGGTATAGCAGTTTAGGAAATAACCATAACCACACATACTCAATATATTCTTTTTTGTTATCCTCTGTAACCGGCAACTCTCGACCGTCTGGTATTAAATCAACCGTCACTACTTCACCGAAACGTTCATCTTCTGTTGAGAATGTCAAATCCAATACATCGGTAATGTCGTTTTCTCTAATACAACAGATTGATTATATTATTATAATTTTAAATATTAATTGAATACATTGCAAATAAACATACAAAGCCCAAGTCAAGCTTCTAAAGAAATCTGCATCAACGCTTTCCATGTCCGGTAAACCAACTTTTTTCTTTAAAATCATTTTGTAAAATGAGGTAATGAAGAAAGCGTCTAAAAATCGACGATGGAAAATAGCAAGACCGACAACCCTTCCAATAAATTTAAAGTAGTTGAGATGCTCAGGATTAATTCCAGAATGAGGATTTATTTGAAGAGTGTAATTATCATGCGCCGAATATTCAAAAAGACAATAGAAAGGATTGAACATTTCATGCGAGAGCAAGAAGAAGAATTCTCTAGATAAACCACCATAATCCAACCCATCTTCCCCATCAAATTTGATCATCAGTCGTTTTTTCAAATCTTGAGGCGTTTGTCTCATAATTTCCGAGTAAGCGTCTTCGAAAATATGACTACGTCTAACTTTAATATGACATTGACCTGGAACAGGACGAAGGGCCGGCTGAGATCTGAAATAAATAAGTTTTCTGCGGAAATCCCTCTTATATTGAGGAACATTTTGACTATTTAGACCAAATTAAATTCAAATTGTTAGCTAAATGATTCATGCGATACATATTTCAAGGAATAAACAATCCGAATAAGTCACATACTCTAAGCTACTAGGCAATCGAGGATCATCCCATGTGGTCGTCTTTGTGTTATGATCTACAAAGTACACTCTGGCAGTACTCGTCAACCGCATCTCCCAACCAGAAGGCAATGGACCAAGTTGAGACACAGGTTGTTGTTGAATGGTGACATTGTTAGCATTGCCTCCGTACATCCTAATATATTGTTGCCTGCGAGGGTCAACCCATGTTGTCGTCCTGGTATTATGGTCCACAAAATATGGCCTTCCCTCAGGCGTTGTTCTTTGTTCTTGAATGGTTATTTAATTTAACATTTTTTTTTTTTTTTTTTAAAAAAATATATATATGTCAAATTGCTAATTAATTCTAATCAATGAACGGAATTAGTAATATGAATAATTTACCCCAACCAGACGGTAAAGGACCATATCCAGCGGTAGTAGCCCCAACATGACCGACAGGTGCTAATCCGTTTGATACTGTAGTTGCAGCAGTGCTTACGGAAGCTTCTGAAGGAGGCGGATTTGAAATTGAAGTGGATGAAGTTGAAGCACTTGGCAAAGGAGAAGACGACCCAGCTGGTCGTTCTTCGGGAAGAGTACGATTATTATGACGGCGACGCTCCAATTCTGTTATATTTTGTTGTTCTTGTAATCGTTGAGCAGAAGTTGCGTTTATTGATGGCCTTGTCCAAGTTGTTGTACGCGAATTATGGTCGACATAATACGTGCGTCCGAGATGATCAACACGACGTTCCCAACTACGAATATTAAGATTTAACCCTTAATGAGCTTGATTAAGAATATAAAAATATATGTGTGTGTATATATTTATATATTTATTTACCCAGGTGGTAACTGTCCATATTGATCTTCAAAGGAACCAAACGTTCGACTAGGAGCAGGGGTTGTAACATTTACACCCTGAGTAGAATTTTGCCCACTAGGTGTCACCGGAGGAGCAGAAGTAGACAAACTAGTAGAATGCGATGAACCCTCTGGAGGGTTAGCCCTTGGATTCGACGTGGATGATGAAACGGAAAGGTTTCGGGTATGACTTGTTGAAGTTGCTCCCATATTACCTTGCACACCAGGATGATTCGCTGGTGTATTTACATTTGTGGTTAAGTTAATAATGAGTTTACCATGAACTACTTCATTTGCATTTGACTTTTTCAAATCTCTCGTCAACATTTCTGTAATGAATCATTTAAAAGAATGTTAAACATATATTATTAATAGATCCAAATTTCAACTTTGAAATTAAAAGATTTTTACCATCCCCGCTTGTATTAACGTCAAACACATCACCAACTTGCACATTTATAACACCTAAAAATCCTTGATCCTTCTTTTTAAATTTTTTCTGGTCAAAAATTTGAACAGCTATAACGCTTTGATTTGATACTTGTCTATAATACAAATCGAGTCAAAAATGAAATAACATTTAGTGGAAGTACTTGTATCATCAAAGAAGAGGGTTGAAATTAGGGTACATACATATCAAAGCTTTCGTTCCAATATGGATTCAAAGTTTTCTTTATAACGGAGGTGGTATGTGTTTGTTCTCCGTCCACGGTAACTACTGCAAAAGGATCGGGTAACCCTATCAAGGCAGAAAAAGTGCCATAATTTAGGACAGCTGTAAATAATGGTTATGAAAGAGAAAATGCAGGCGAACTACGTACGAAAGACATCTCTCTTATATAGACCATCCGCTGCAATGACTACAAATTACAAAGGTAGAAAGTATAAAAGAAAAAGATAATGAATAAGGGTTCTCATCAGGCAAAAGTGAAGAGTATAAAAAATAACACATACCGGTTAAACGTATTGTCTTTCTATGTTTTACGCATTTGTCATCGCACAAATTAGATTAAAGTACATTAACAAAAGAGGTGAGAAAAAAAAAAATTTAAGTATCGTGACAAGATAAAGTGTTTATACATTTAACATAAAACTTTACTAACGCTTGTGGATTCGACATTTTCGTATAAAATGACCTTGGATTTTACTCCCTCTGACAAAAAAAATTTTTTTTTTTTTTTTTTTTTGGATAAAAATAGTTATTTTTTAATAAAATTTAATAAAGGAAAGAAAAAAACGGTAAAAAGATATCGGGCGAAAATGTAATGGATTTACTTGTGGCAACAAAATTTCTACACACATCCGACTGCGGGGAATTTGAAACCCCAAATTGGAATTTTAGGGGTAAAGCGCCACAAATCAAGTGATAAAAAAAGAATTGTAACTCCGGCTGTTTCTTTTGGAGATCGTCAATTCGCTACATCAGAATATAAATGGAATATAAATAAATGAATTTCTCTTTCCCAATGCCAAACATTTAAAAACCCTTACCAAGTCCACTATTTTTAGTCAACTAACTCTTTGTTATATTTTCTACCATTAGAATTCATCCAATAAGGTAACCTTTCATTTTGCCTAATACCCTTTAATATTAAGCAAAAAGGCTTTGGATTTTGGAGGTATTTATAGGTTTGAAATTATTATGGATTGCAGAATGATCATTGATGCTAAATTTACAATTGTTATATTAGGAACTCGGCTCAGTGGCTTAGTTGATCCGCCTCAAAACACCCAGAAATAAAGTTCTGTAACCAATGTATCCTTCAAAATAATACATTTTTTGTCAAGCTACAAAAGATTTAGTTTGTGAAAGGGTCATATCATAAATTATTAATTTCAATCCAATCTCATGGGAAAACATTAATTGGGTCGCGAAAAAATTATTCCAATCTATGCCCTTTTCGTTAGTCCGAATGATATAAACAAAATAGATGAATAGAGATTTTTTTTTAAAAATAAAAAAGTGAAAAAAGAAAATGATAAGATTTTTTATTTCTACCATAAAATCTTTTAATTTATGTAATACATACATGCACGAAAAACTGATTAACCCAATATGGCTAGATCAATTAGTCGATCTAAATCTAATTTGGCTATAACCTGTTTTCATAATTCTTTATTTGAATTTTAAATATAATAAATAATGTATGTAATGTAATAAAGAGTAGTGTTTGGCAAATAACATTGTCTCCCAAATCTTGAACTAAAAAAAAAATAGTTAAAATGTTGGAGTACATTCTCGATAACCACCGCGATCACGTGGCCGACCCTACCTTTTTTTGGTGAGGTTTGAATGCGTGTATCCAGGTAATCTTTTCTTTTTTAATTGTCTCAATAGTGACCGGCAAGATATTAGGTCTAATTGACTGCATGAATGAATGATATCTCCGATAATCCGCAACAGGCAATAGAAGAAAATAGTGTCTCTGAGGTTTCTCGACTTTTCTCTCAACTCCGCTACAATAGAAAGCCAAATCTGGCTTTGATCTACTGCATATATATTGTGGAACTTAATAATAACAAAAACATTTTTGTCACCATATGGGAGTGTTTCTAGGAAAATCAGGTTCCGAGAAATTTTTGACTAAAATTAAGAGCTTAATACATTTTAATCTAATAACATCAAAAACTAAAATGCAATAAAAATCTCAATTTCGCTAAAAAATTCCCGGAACCTGATTTTCCTAGCAATCAACCCATATGCATTTTAGATTTTATATTATTTGCCCGTGAGTTGATAATTAATCAAAAAATGAGATCACATGAACATTATTTCATTCGTGTCATGCATAAGAGACATAAGAAACAAGCCACACATTACACCCATTATTTAATTGCAAAAATTGGTTTCATGAGCATGAAATTTTCCGATGTTACCCAAAGAATAAACAAATTCATTCTGTTCGGTTACTCTCGGATGAAATCTAAGAATAGACTCTTATTTCGATTTAATCTTAAATTTCTGTAAATAATTGTTTTTGAATTTAACGAAAAAATTCTTAATAACTAAAAGGAGATCAAACTAAACCGAAATAAACAAAATTTTATTTACACATGAAGTTTCTAATTTAATTATCAAAACTTTTAAAGAAATTAAAATACAAAGTGTCATTTAAATAAAGGAATTAATAAAAAGAAAATCCTACAAAGAAATCTAGATGAGTTACAGTATTACATTAATCAACCAATGGAACATCCACTGTTCTCCTCTCCGTTTGGATTAAGTTGTTTTTCAATTTCACTTATCATGAGTTCAAAAATTCGGGCTAATTTTTTTTTTTAAAAAATAAATAAATAAACAAATAAATCAATTAATTTCTGCAAGCACCATCTCATTCAAATAGGTAAATAACAACGATAACGTACTTATATTTTCATTATGTTTCGCTGATGCCTCAGTCCAAGCACAATTCCATTGCCGAGCCAGCTCTTTTCCTTCTTCAGAAGTTAATTGTCTTTAATAATGAAAATTAAATTTTAGTTATCAATGAAGCAATTAACTTTTTGAAATATCTACAAGAAGCTCACCTCTGCATATGTAAATCTGTTTTGTTCCCAACCAAAACTATTGGTACTTCAGTCCCCGTGAAATTCAGGATTTTTTCTCGAATAATTTTGACCATTTCAAAACTCTGTCGAGATGTAACCGAATACACCAAAATATACCCATGAATTCCTACTCCATGTGTAGAATTCAAAATTGAGTGTTCATCCTGATTATAAGAAAAAAAAAATAAACAGTTGGATTTCAATCTACTCGTTTATTCTAGTTTAATTTCATATTTTGAATTATTTACCTGTCCTGCAGTATCAATAATTTCTGCCGCGATTTCCTGTCCCCTATACCTTATGACTTTATTAAATGTATTCTCAATAGTAGGATAATAGGAGTCTACAAAATGGTTTTCTACGAATTGAATAGTCAATGACGACTTACCTTATATTATATATAAAAAAAATAAGATAAATTAATAAAATAAATAACGTGAAAAATATATATATATATATATATATATATCTCAACTAACCCACAGCTCGTGAACCCAACACCGCAATAGTTCTTGGTTTAGGGGAAGTCATGATTTTTTTTTTTTTTTGTTCTCAAAATTTTTTAAATTGCTTGAGATTTAATTTATATAACAAATAATAGATCCAGATCTGAAGGGTGCCACACACAGACTTTTAGCGTAGATCTTTTAATTGACCTTTTTAGGCTAGATCAATCATTATATTTACGTGATTTGGGCAGATAACATTTGAAAAACAAACTATAATCCAGATGATAGATAAGGTGGCGTTCCTTTTGTAAGTTTGTAAGCAAAACTTAAAATGCACCAGCCTATTCTGGTATAGATAATCACATAAATATGTGAATCAAACACAATTTCAATGTTCAAATTTCCTTTTTTTTTTTTCTCTCTAATAAAATGTCTTTTACACAAGTCTCACCCGGCAGTAAAGTTCTTTTGATCAACTCATCTCACTCGGATCCTTCCCAACTTGAAGAAGCTAAATCATTTTTGATGCGACAGGTCACTGAAAGTGGTTTTGTCAATATTGAAAAATTAAGTCAAATAGTTCAAGGTAAAAGCTTGATTTGCATAGTTTACCTTGCAGCAAACCTTTTGACTTATTAAACTCGTTTCTATTTTTATTATTTTAGGCGATCTACCGAATTCCGCATATAATATCATTTATACTAATTATTTTGGCTCCTTAGCTTCCGCTCATAATACCTCAACACTTTCAAAGTTTGCTTTGACGTTAGTACCAGGTGGTATCCTTTACCTCAAGGAACCCGTCTTGCTCTCTTTAGGATCCGCTGAAGTTCCAATCACTCGCACGACTCAAGATTTAATTAGTGAACTCAAATTATCTGGGTTCGTAGATTTTGAAATCAAAAATGCTACTAAAGTTGAGATGAATGATCTGGTCAATATTGTAGAACAAGTCTGGGGAATTACGGATGAGAATAAGAAAAGAGATCTGGTTCATTCATTGAATGGCCAATTACATTTAGTCGAAGTTGTAGCTAAAAAGCCAACGTATGAAATTGGTGCTTCATTTGCTTTGCCATTTGCCAAAAAAGCTGCAAACGGTATGTAACGAAAACATTCATCTTTTTAAAAAATAAATAATTGAATGAATAAGAATTAATTGTACTCAAGATTCATTCGTTTTATGTTCAACAGGTAACGGTACTACAAAGAAAGCCTCCATATGGACTCTTTCTACTGATGATGATGAATTAGTCGACGAAGATCAATTGTTGGATGATGATGATTTGATTAAACCTGATAAGAGCACTTTAACTCGTAAATATCATGAGAACAATCTTTTTCATTTCATTTTTTTTTTTTTACTATTATTTATATATGATATTTGTAATTATAGGACCCGATTGTGAAACTAGCGGAAAGAAAAAGGCTTGCAAGAATTGTTCATGTGGTCTTGCCGAAGAATTAGAAAAAGAGAGTAAACCAGCACCAAAGGCTCAAACTTCGTCTTGTGGGAGTGTACGTATAATTCAAAGTTTGTTTTTCCCAAATTTATTGATAGTTTGATTACTTATGTTGTTTTCTTTATTCAGTGTTATCTTGGAGATGCGTTCAGATGCTCAACATGTCCCTACCTTGGAATGCCGTCTTTTAATCCTGGAGAAAAGGTTGTCCTTGGAGGCAATATGATGCAGGATGATATATGAATGACCAGGAAAAAAAAAGGAATTGAATTTTCATAATAGATTATTTTGCATAATTTGATAATATCCGCATGATGTTAAACGAGAAAGTTGAAATGATAACAGAATTCAGATGTATTAAAGTTATTTATAATTGATTTGTACCATTTCTTGTAACTTACGATATGTATTAAAGTGATAATAAGCCATTTACATGACTTGAATCTTGTGATCCTTTAAATTAAATTATTTATTATGTGTATGATTACTCTATTTCAATAAAGATAAATTCTATTTATAAATAAATTCTATTATACATATCATATATCATAATAATGCTATCATATGATATTTATGAAAACTCTAAAAAAAAAAAAAAAAGAAAAAAAAAAAAAGAGAGACGAATTTCATACTTGAAATCCGACTCCTAATTCGACAAAACAAGTTAACAATCTCAGGATGAAACTTTTACGATATTTAACGTCAAACAAATGGTCATGACGCATAAACCATAAATTATTAAACATGCTGCCAATATTTTCCTTTTATCCCATGGATCATTTTCATGAATTTTATAATAATATAATCCCGGTAATATAAAAGAAATTGCCGTGGATCCTGTTGATCCGACGAATGCAAGTACCTGGTTTGTAATTGAGAGGGGAGAGTTGATGATTAAAAAAAAAAAAAGATGATAAAATAGATTCTCGTCATTTGATGAGGAACATGATACCATATTACTTACCAAATCTAATTTTGATACCGATATAGCGATGATGTAACTAAATATCAGGATACCGGATGTTAACCCGAAATAATTTACATTTGACATCTCTGGTGAAGAAAGTTTCTTATAACCATTCGTGGAATTTGATCTATAAAAAAGTAATTTTTCCAGGCAAGCGCGTGCCGGGTGCGCTTGTAATGGGTAAGAGAAAAGTATGCAAATCACGAATGCTATACGACCGATAGTAACAAAAAAACTTGATTTGTCTGGAGGGTAAAAAAAAAATAAAACAAAGACAAAAAAACGAGTAGGTGGGCTTAGTTTTTTGGTTCGAAATGAATAGATCTCATCCTCTCTCTTTTCTGAAAAAGAGATCAAATCAAAAAACACTTACACATCAAAATGACGTTTGGCAAGACGTCATCACCAAAACTCAAATATCCCAATATTCCAATGACCTGATATATTGTAGCCGACGTTCCGATCGCACCAACGATAACACTGTTAATATTTTTTTGACTATTGTCTGCAAGTTCATTATAGATCGAAAAGATCTAAGGGGGGGAAAGGATACCAACGTTATTTAACAAGGAACCAAAATTAAAAACGAATAAATAAAAATAAATCAAAGCTTTCAAGCTCATGCATTACTAAGACGCATTACTCACATTTTGATGACACGTGAAGGCAAAAACAAAAATTGGTAAATTTGTAAAAAATTTTGTTGAAAATTTCACAAGATGTATCTTTTCTTTTGGAGGGGCTTTATAATCAGGCCCGAAATAATGATAAATAACGATAAATACCAAATAAACTACAGCAATTAATGCGATGAAACTAGTATGCCTTAGAGAATCAAGTCTCTTTAAGAATGCCAAAGGTACGACGACGAACATAAAGACAGTTATCCAAAATCGTCGATCCATAAATATTGAATACTCATCTACGAAACTATCTCCGAAACCGTTTATCACCTGCGGCATCAAATCACCGATAATGATTAAATATGAAACGGCAACTCCAAAACACTTTATGGCAATAGCGGCATCAAACAATGAGGATGCCGATGGATAAGTTAATTGTGATACAGCAAAAAATGATGCATTACGATTCTTTGTATATGAAGCGCTACGGGACAAGAAATATAATCCAAGTCCAGAAGTGGTTGCCGCAAAAATTATCATTATACTGCCAATTAAAAGTCCGACTGATGCTATGGCTGCTGGCTAATCATTTTCAATAAAATAAAAAGGTTCCCATCAAAAGGTCGTGTAATAACAAAAAAAAAAAAGGCAATAAAAAACCTAAAATAAATACCATGGCTAACATCCCTGTTCCAAGAATGGTGTTGGCAAGATTGATCTACGTTTTTAAAGAAATCTAAATAAGTTTGAAAATAAAACCATCAAGATATTCGTTCGATATTCTCATTTGTCGTTAACTTGATTTAGCTAAAGACAAGGAGGTCCTCCTTTCGTATATATTTTGATGACCTACCGCACAAGAGTAATAACTAGCGAATCCATGTTGTGCTCCGCCGGGTCCTTCACCCTCATAATCGTTTTCATCCTCGATCACTATATCTCCGCTTAATAATGGTGACCGATCTATTGGAACATTATTTTCGAATATGGTATTGCCTGCAGAAGAGGGCCTTCCTTCTCCTTCGATTTGGATCGAAGAGTAAGTTGACATTTTGAGATTTTTGTTACAAAAAAATTTTTTTTTTTTATTAGAAAAAAAAATTCACATTCACCGCTACACATAAATACGTAAAAAGGCTTATATGCAAATGCATGCAAGTTTGACCTTCACGTAAATCAGGAAATAACTAATTAACCCAAAATATCAATAAAAGATCATTCATGTGTGCATGCGTATTACGAATTGTCCCTCAGTGGTTTCGGAGATAAAAATAAATATGTAACGCATTAGAAACAATTTCAGAACTTATCAAATCTGCCTCTTTTTTTACTTAAAAATTTTCTTTCTTTAAAGTGTCCTTTATGGAATTCGAGTTTCATGGCGTTTAAAAATTCTCTGACGAATTCTCAAGATCGATGGAAAGTTTCTGATACTTTTAATACTTTATATCGTGAGAAAGACATTTACGACGAAATATCTCTGTCTCTGGTAGACTCAGCAGATATGGAAAGTAATAAACGTGGAATTTCGGAAAAAGTAGGTTATCCTACAAAATATAATATTAATAATTCAACCACAATGCATTGCCAACCAAAGGGCAATTCATTTGCTACCATGGCTTTATTGGCCACTCAAATACAGGCTTTAGAATCAGAGCTTATAACGGTTGGGAAGAGGAAAAACTCGAAACGAAAAAAAAATAATTTTGATATTAATACTACTTTATCATCTAAATATGATGAAAAAATTCATTCGCCGATAAGTCTTGAAAATGACCTTCTAAAATATAAAAAACATGAAAGAGATGATAGTTATTCGGATTCAAGTTTACAATTTCTTTCATCGAATAATTCGGTTAGTGCAACCAGCACTCGTCTTACAACTCCAGTCGACTCGAATTTTGATTTTACGAAATCTGAACTTTCCCCACCAAATACGGATGTTAAAAATTCATTCAACGTTTATCAGAAAAATGTAGAGGAAATTCAATTTCTCACGAACAAACTTGAAGAACAACAACAGCAACACAAGGGAGAGCTTGAAAAATTACGAAAAGAACATAGTACTCAACTTAATAAAACAATGCTAGATTATGAAAAGTCAATCAATGATCAAAAGAAAGCATTTGAAAAAGTTATTCAAGAACTTAAAGATAATATGGAAAAAGAAAACAATTCGAAAATGGATAAATTAAGAAAAGAATTGATTAATCAAAGTAAAGGTAATGAGGAAAAGATGATGAATGAAATATCTATTCGTTATGAATCTCGAACAGAAGAATTAATGAGGCTTCATGATATAGAAAAGAATAAAATGATAACGGAATTAAAGTCGATGAAAAAGTTAAAAGAAAAGGCGGAGGTTGAGTTAATGGAAAATAAAAAGACGTTCCAAAATGATAAACGGTCCATTAGGCACGAATATGAGAGAGAGATCGAAATACTTCGTGTAGAACATGTAAATCAGTTAGATTCAATGATGCGAGGAGAAACTAAAAAAGCTTTTATGCAAATAAGGGATCAATTAGTGCGGATGAAAAAGGAAGGTGAGAAGGGACTACGGAATAGGATAGAAGAACTAATGCATGAATTGAGTGAAAAAGAAGCTGCTGAGGGTTCTTGGATTAAAGACAAACGAGAAAAAGAATCCATCTTATTAAATTTAAAAATTCATCTGAATGCTTTGGAAACGACAATTCAACAAAAAGGAGACAAAATAGTTGAATTACAGGATGAGCACGCTCGTTCACGCAAGGAAATAAGTGTTCTCAATCGGAATAAGGAGAGTACCAGTAAGATGATAGAAACGTTCCAACAAAAAACTGAAGAGATAATTAAAGATTTGAAACGACAATTGGATGCTAAGACAAAGTCGGAAGGAGAAGTTGAACCAATTGTCAAGACACTTCGTGAACAATTAAATAATGCCGATGAGGAACTTTCGAGCTTACGAGTTCAATTATCAAATTTAGAACTGAAATTTAATGAGGAAAGTGAACGTTGTGAAGACTTGGAAAAACTGATCGAAGACAAATCAGATATGATAAACAAACTTCAACTTCAATTGGAACGTGGGAAAACTGAAACTGAAGAACTAGAATCAAGTAAGAAGATGGATTTACAAAATTTCAAAGAACGACAAGAGCAATCCATAACGTTACTTCGTACGAAAATGGAAATTGACCATAAAAAAGAATTACAAGAACTTCGCGATCGACTTATAAAAGAATATGAAATTAAAATAAAAGAATTAGCCGACCAGAATTCGAGAATAGAACGAAATAGCGTACAAAATTCTGAAACTGTGGAGGAATTGAAAGAAACTACTCGTCGTCTCGCAGGTGTAGAGTCTGCTTTTAAAGAATTAAATGCTAAACACCAACAACTCTTACATAAAAATCAGCAATTGTCAAATGACATTTCCGTTTTTCGTTCTAAAGTTGAGCTACTTGAGACTGATAATTTTGAATTAAAAGAAAACAATAGATTAGTCACATCAGAAAAGAAAGAGGTTGCTGAAAAACTGACTAATGATTTAGAAACCGTTGAAAAACAAAAAGAATCCCTATCAAAATTATTGGAAGAACATCAAAATGGTATGCGAACTTTAATGAAAGAAATGGCAGCTGAACGAGAAGTTTGGTCTCAGAAAG